ATAGTTTTAATACTTCTGGTGCCTACTAGGTTGAAATGTCCTGAATTCACACTTACGATGGATTTGAATTAGCGTTCTCTGTTATCTCACAGATAGGGACATAGTTTTAATACTTCTGGTGCCTACTAGGTTGAAATGTCCTGAATTCACTCTTACGATGGATTTGAATTAGCTTTCTCTCTTACCTCACAGATAGGGACATAGTTTTAATACTTCTGGTGCCTACTAGGTTGAAATGTCCTGAACTCACACTTACGATGGATTTGGATTAGCTTTCTCTCTTACCTCACAGAGATGGATATAGTTTTAATACTTCTGGTGCCTACAAGGTTGAAATGTCCAGAACTCACACTTACGATGGATTTGGATCAGCTTTTTCTCTTACCTCACAGAGATGGATATAGTTTTAATACTTCTGGTGCCTACTTTGTTGAAATTCCTGAACTCACACTTACGATGGTTTGTGGGATTTATGAGCTTCAAAACTGACTTTACTAAGAAAAATTACATAAGAGTTTTGACTATATCATGGACATTACTTGAAAATAAATAAAATAAAAATCCAAGTACTCCTACACGGTCAACCGCTAGATGGTGAAAAGTTTAGTTAATGCATTATTTAAAACTAGCCACTGTGTTAGGATTGGAGAAGTTAAAAAATTGGAATATTTAAATACAATTGTACTGTACATTCAGTTCGGTTAACATTAAAGTTAATTTGCTGCACAAGATAATTTTGAAAAATGACTCAGCTTGTAGCTAAATGTTGGTAGCTCGCTTAAGGTAGCTAGACTCTTAATAATATGCTACGGAGTGGGAGTAACCTTTCATGGTAAAGTTTCTTTCAACCACATTAATAATATCAAATTTAAAGTACAGAAAAAATGTGTTTAAATAAGCAAAAAATGAAGTATGGAAGCTTCAAATGCTGATTTTTTTTCCTTCGAAGTATCAAATTGCAAATATATTATGGCAAATTTATCTGCTATTACGAGGAAAAAACGTATTCCGGTCATAAACATACTTGCCTCAGAGAGCTTCGAGCTCGTAACTCTGGGTGTTTAGATATTTTTTGTCAGATAGTGTATAATTGCAATTTGATGTGTTGAAAAAAAAGAACTTAAGACTTAGAAACTTCACAGTTTACTCTAGTTTTATCTTGGCTTAGTTTTTTTACGCATTAAATTTTAAATCAATAATGTATTTAAAATAGAATTTGCAATGAAAGGTTTTTCCACGGGTGCAGCGTACTCTTAAGTTTGTTGTTATTTGTCGAGAAATTGATTATCGAGAAGTTGTGAAATTTTGTTTTGTAAAATCTACTGAAGAGGAAAATTTCTTAACAATTCATTTTAAAATTTTATTAAAAAAATAGCTGGTTATAAGTTTTTTAAATCCTGGCCAGGTGGCCGAGCGGTTAGCATGCCTGACTGCGAAGCCAATGCCTTCGATTTCAAATCCCGCTCAGGACAGGGATGTTTCTCTCTGTGTGTTACGTGTAATGTGTGAACAAGGCCCACCCTTACGGGTATCTGTGGCAATCTGGAGTGGGTAACGTTGCTTGCCTCCTTGACTTTGACCACAAGCTGCTAACCAGGCAACGCGAAATGAGCAATACCTCCGGCATCTTCCATGGCAAAGAATGACTAGTGTTCAGTGCCTGTCATTACAAATGACAAAAAAAGTTCTTTAAATTGAGTTTCGGGAATCTGAAAGTTTTGATGTTTCTTTTCGAAAATGAATAACTTCGCTTAAGAAAATATCTTATACTTGAATTGCATTTTTGTTGTCTTTCTTTTATTTTTGTAATAGCAAATAAATTCTTTATCATTTGTGTGATAGCGATGTTTTACTAACTCCTTACATTCAGAAATGTTAGTTATTTACGAAATGAAGAGCTACTTAACTATTATTAGAAAATGGTTACTTGAATTTTGCAGGTACATATTATTGGACACATTCCACCTGGACATAGTGATTGTCTGCCAGTGTGGAGCTCTAATTATCACAGAATAATTAACAGGCAAGTATTTGCTAATTTTTATTTAGATAAAAAGTAATTTTAAAATTTTTATGAATTAATTTACTAATGATATATGGTATTCAATTACAATCACAGTGAGATGCTTCTTTTTAAAGAATTATAATCATTGGTAATTACTTTTTTATAAGTTTGGTTTCTACTCTTTTTAATCTTTCTTTACTCTCTGTATATTAAGTTCACTCTGTACATTAACATTCTGTATATTAAAAATCACTCTAATGTAAGCTTTGATGCCATTTTTGGCGCAGTTAAAAATTAATTGCAAAATTATTGTTTTAAAATTTGAACAAAAATTGTTAAAAGATGCGCATTTAAAGCAATTCTCTTGTAACGCGCATGTGTGGAAAAATTTAAAATTATTTTCTCTCAATTTTATAGGGGATCATACTTGGAAACTAATGAAAAAATTTGATTTAAGTATCTTAAGAACATAAAAATTTCAAGCAATTTTCTAAGTAGTTTTTGTACTTTTTCAAAGATCAAAATGATAAGGGGTTTTCCACATATTTAGTTTTGTTTTTGCTGTCGGTTATAAGGTAGTGTAATTTGCAATGCTACATAATACACTTTGTAGAAAACCCTTGATTATTTTGATTTTTTTTAAATCGAAAAATTATTATTAATTGCGTGAAACTTTTTACGTTTCCATAAATTGCCAAAAATGATTTACTAAATGCTATTATTTAAATTTTTTAATTGCATGCGCAATACAAAATAACTACTTTAAATGCTCATATCTTGTGCATTTTTTAGCATTTTTTTTCAAATATTACAACATTTTATGAAAATTAACTTTAAATTTCTCCGAAAATTTTGTCAATTTCACTGAATATTTTGAAAGCTATAATAATAAAAAAAAAATTCAGTTTTTTACGAAAATGTTAATTTGTCTCTATGAATCTTTAAGCTAGATTTACGAAATTTTATGTAGTTATTGCAAATATAAACCAAAGTAATTGAGAGAATTTAGAATCTTATTGCTTGACTTTTTGGTTTAGGGTGTTAAAAAAAACTTTTTTTTTTCTTTCGTAATTTATTGTCAGTCTCTCAAACTTTTGAAAGCCTTAAACTCTATTGCTAAGTATGAAAATTCGTATGAATTAAACACTTCTAAGCTTACAAAAGTGTTCTCTAAGTATTTTCTGAAAAATTCTTGAAAAAAATATCAAAAACTGGAAGCGTTTCTTCCTGTGTCTTCTTCTCTGACGCTATATTTTTTAAATTCAATGTTCTGCGCCTGCGCAGATGACTTTACGTCAAGAGAAAATATTGCACCGAGACTTTGACGTCGGTGTTCGCTCTGAATCACATTTAGAAATGTGAATGAGTTTCATTAAATTAAAGAAAGATGTTAGATCTGGTATTTTTCGAATGGTATATTAATTTATTACATATTAATTTATTATATATTAATTTAATTTTAATTTGATGCATTTGTTTAAAAAAAAAGGTTTGAGAACACAGTGCGGGGTCAGTTTTTTGGACACAGTCATCTTGATGAGCTTGAAGTGTTCTACGAGGATAAATCAAGGCCAACATCTATGGCTTATATAGGACCATCTGTCACTAGTTACGACGGAGTTAATCCTTCTTACAGAATTTACACAGTGGATGGGTACTATCCTGAAACAACATGTGTAAGTTTATTATATTACAATATAATAATCGTGTAGTTTTTCGATAAATAATACATTCAATTAATAAATAGTGCATTTTATTAATAAATAGTGTATTTTGTCCAAAATGTAACTGTTAATGAAAACCACATCAAAATTGTATACGTTTTTTAATGTTTAGTTAAATCGGTTAAATTATTAGATAACCGGATTTAGTCCACCGATTGAAAAAGTCTNTGAATCAGAAAGTGGAAGCGTTTCTTCCTGTGTCTTCTTCTCTGACTCTATATTTTTTAAATTCAATGTCCTGCGCCTGCGCAGATGACTTTACGTCAAGAGAAAATATTGCACCGAGACTTTGACGTCGGTGTTCGCTCTGAATCACATTTAGAAATGTGAATGAGTTTCATTAAATTAAAGAAAGATGTTAGATCTGGTATTTTTCGAATGGTATATTAATTTATTACATATTAATTTATTATATATTAATTTAATTTTAATTTGATGCATTTGTTTAAAAAAAAAGGTTTGAGAACACAGTGCGGGGTCAGTTTTTTGGACACAGTCATCTTGATGAGCTTGAAGTGTTCTACGAGGATAAATCAAGGCCAACATCTATGGCTTATATAGGACCATCTGTCACTAGTTACGACGGAGTTAATCCTTCTTACAGAATTTACACAGTGGATGGGTACTATCCTGAAACAACATGTGTAAGTTTATTATATTACAATATAATAATCGTGTAGTTTTTCAATAAATAATACATTTAATGAATAAATAGCGTATTTTATTAATGAATAGTGCATTTTATTTATAAACAGTGCATTTTATTAATAAATAGTGTGTTTTTTCAAAAAATGTAACTTTTTTGCCATTAATGAAAACCACACCAAAATTGTATACGTTGTTTGGTTAAATTATTAGGTAACCGGATTTAGTCCACCGTTTGAAAAAGTCTCAAAAAAGCAGTTTAACTTCATAGTTTAGTTAATACGATTATTACATAAACCCCTTCCTTCTCTCTGTCGTCAAAATGACAAGGTGAAGTTTCGCCCTCTATTTCTCGTGACCGTAATATTTCTAGGATAGTGTGTTCACAAATAGCGCGACAAAAAGATTAAAGCAAAGTATTTCTTATGTTCGGAATCATGTTTAATTCTCCATATATACATCAGATGGCAGTGCCTGACTATTTGTCATGTGTTTAGAGATAGTTTATTTTAAACTAGATGTTAGCACTCATCAAACACGTAAGCAAAAAATTCATTCCAAAATTAAAAATGACTATAGATATTGTATTCTTAGTTTTATATAATTTTCTTGAATAAAAAAATGGGTACTTTTATGATAGTTTTCTTCAAAATTATGCGATCGTTAAAGGGTTAAATGAACTATGCTTTCGTGCTTGTTCAGTGCTAAAATACTTGATTTCAAAATAAGGATATTGGTATAAATAAAGTTATTGTTGAGTTATTTGCTTTATTTGCAGGCTGTACTGGACTCTGAAACGTTTTACCTGAATTTAACTGAAGCTAACATGTATGATCGCCCAATATGGCGACGGTCATATTCTGCGCGGGAAGAATACGGCATGCCATCGCTTTCTCCTTATCAATGGCATAAACTCCTGGATCGTTTTCATATGGACGAAGAATTGTTTCAGAAATTTTCTCGGTAAGTGAAGAAATATTAATAATTTTAATAAGATTACTTACACAGTAGTTGGAATAGGACTAATTCGCAAGAGATTATAAGAATTGACATAAGGCACTAAATTTTATTTGTCTATGCAGGCAAGTCTGGAATCGCCTTGATATAGAAAATTAAATTGATCTTGAAGTGCAGAAGTGGTGCAGAAGTGCTTTTTGCAGGTGTTAATTGCCTGCATACAATGCCTAAAATTATGCAATACCTCCTTTTGCTCCCCCCAACGTGTAGACAGGTCTAATTTTTGACGCTGTCTGATGTTCTGCACACGTATTTTTAACCTGTAAGGCCACGAATCAACAACTGTTTCATTTACTACATGAGATTTTCCATGTCATGGGACAGTTAGAATGTACGAAAGTAGAATCCACTAATTTGTTTGCTGTCAAGATCACATGTAAGATATCGCTTGTAATGTTCGTGGAAAAATAGAAAAGTTGTTGTATTAGTGGCCCAGAGAGTTTATGGCATCACGGGGAACAGGTAATTAATAAATATATATGTATTTAAAACGTTTTATAAGAAAACTTTAATATCATAGAGTTTTCTAATGCGTCTTTCGATATGCCAGCAAAAATATTCATCAAAGAATTTTTTTTTTTTTTTTTTTTGCTGTCAAAAAACATGCAACATGCCTGTTGTAGAAGCAATATTTGTTTTATTTAAAATTTCTCAGAGATAATCTTAAAATCAAAAAGGATGTCCCAAAAATTTCTTACATTCTTACATACATCTCATAATTCAAAAATATACATATTTTTGAATTATGACTTATTTGTCAATGTAAATTATTTTTTTTTGCCGAGAATATAATTTTTTTTCTGCTTTCAACAGTATAATGGCTTATATTTTATAATTATAAAACGACTAACTACACTAAATTTGTGTAGTTAGACGACTAACTACACTAAATAAAACACTAAATTTGTAATTACGTCACCGAGTATAGTTACCAGGTGCTCTAAAAATTATCACTGAGTTGGAAAATCGATAAACGAAAGTGAATAGAAATGAAAAAGAAAAAAAAACTCAAGATAGAAACATAAAATACAAATTTGTGCCCTAGGCTCATCAAATTTTCTGCTCCTCTTACTTAATGTTTTGAAATTCACCTGCTGATGACTACAGTCTGATATAAGAAAAAAAAAAAACGCCTGCTGATTTGAAAGCGTTCTCTAAGCGTTTTTGCAACCTAATAATTTTCAGAATATTTTTGAACATTTTGACAGCAGGCAGTTGAAAGCTACTTTTCCAAATATTAAAGCTAAATAAACGATAGCTTTGTTAAGAGCAATAAAAGTAGTTCAAAATTTAACATAATATTTTTCATTGTTTTGTTTTACTTAAAAAATATCAGATTAAAAGAATAGTAATAATTTTGATAATTTTATTACTTTTGAGGTCTCTCAGATTTTATGGGCCCTAGACAATAATTAGGCCCACGATATGTATCGTTTTTTGCTCCTTGTTAAGAAGATCGAAAAACGTTTCATTCTAAACTTCAAAAAGGATCACAAAATTCGTCAACAAATAGCACTCACTGACAAAAAAAAGTAATGAATCAAAGTTTTCAAAATAACTATAATTTGCAACCACAACATCGTGGTTCGGCTTAACGAAAAAAAAACTAACATGAGCCAGTGCAAAAATTTTCATTTTGAATGGTCTATCACGCAGCCGAAAACTTTGTACATGAAAATAGTTTATTTTGATAGTTTATTTTATAATTCTTTTATTCCTCTTGTTTTTTAGGCATTTATACAGCTTGAGTGATTTTCCAAGGGAAATTTGTACGGGTGAATGCAAACACGAGACAATCTGCCGCATGCGTACAGCACGTTCTCATGATTCGTCTTTCTGTCTGTCACCTTTCCTTTAATATGTTTTCTTCTTTTTCACAAATTAGTGTTTTCTGCAACACACGTGTACAAAGCACCGCCATTTTTTATCGAAAAATATGCCTTGATTAAAAGATGGCATAGACGACGTAGTAGACAAGACAGTCTAAAGAGTTTGTTTTTTTACCAGGCATTTAACGAACCACCGAAAATGCTTGAACGTTAGAAGTCTCACTTATTACTTGTTGTGATGTGCAATACATGTATAAAATTTTTAATATTGCTGTTATTTGAAATATTTGAAATCATAAGGTTTTAAAACTTTTTAAGCTAATTTTACTTATTTTAAAGTCATATTTATGGGTTGATGATTATAAATATTTGAAAACTGAATGTTGTAAAAAGTTTTCAAGCCTATTTTATTTATTTAAAGGTCATATTCCTTGATTAATGATTATAAATATTTAAAAACTGAAGGTTAAAATTTCTGTATGCACTTTTTATTCGTTTTAAAGTCCTATCTATTGATTATAAACATTTGAGAAAAAATTATTTAAGCTTATTTTATTTACTTAAGTCAGATTTCTTGAAATGTTACATAATGAATCAATTATGAATATTGTAATGCAAATAATATATTGTAATGTAAATAATTGCAATGTAAATAATATTTCGTGACAACAGCATTATACCTTTCGACAATGATTTTCTTGACAACGATAACTTTCGACAATAATTATCTAAACAACTATAATAAAATTTCTGATAATAGTCATTTTGACAACAATAATTTAGGAAAAAAAATTTGATTTAAACATAAATAACAGCAATGCTAAGGATGATAAAAAAATTAAGCGCAAAATGAATTATAGGAAATGAGATACATGCCCGCGCGAAACTCTTTTATTGGTAAAAAAGTGCCCAATATAAAAGTTTTATTGACATATTTAATGTTTATTACAATTTTCAAGCAAATAAATATTTAGTTTATTTAAAAAAATCTACTGCATTTCACCATTTCACTAAAGCGAGTATAATAAAGGTAAAATCAAATGAAAAAAGAATATATGAAGCTTAAGATGTCAGCTTGGCTATATAAGTATAAAATGACGAAAGCTCATCATTATAGCGCAATAAATTCATATAAAAAACAATGTGTTGGAAAAAATTGTATCCGAATTAAAAGCATAATGTTTCAAATACTTATAGGATGAAGATCATTTGATATGGTTATAAAGTACACTACTTAAGTAATAGTTTTAAAAAACAATTATTTTTCAATAAATTGTTTTTAATATTTATTTAGTTAAAAATATCATTATGTTATAGTTTGGAAAGTAAGGACTACAAATAAAGAAATTTTTAACAAAAATAATCATTGCCAGCGACGCACAAAGATAAGAAAAAAACATTTACACTATATATTTGTTTATTATTGCATAATATTTATGTGTAATTATTATGTAATAAACTTTTTTAAATATTTTCAGAAAAGAGACTTTTATAATATATCACTGCAGCATGATGTTTTAAAATTTTAAATATTTGAAAAATATTAAGTTAAATAGCTTAAAACTTTAGCACCCCCACATGTTATGCTTATGAAGCAAAAATTCTTTTTATAAATGTATAGTGTTAGTTTGAGTTTTAAAGCTTACTGTTTTAAAGAAAGTTTAAAAAATATATCTCAGTTTGCGTGGATGTGTGTCTGTTTTATGTTTTGTTCGTATTTATTTGATTTCTCAATTGAACGGTATTATTTATGTTTTGTGTTTTATTTATTGAATAATTGTTACAAGTGATTGATTGTAATTAATTTCGAATAAAAAGTTACTTTCAATGTGTTTCTTATTATTCTCGTCTATTTCATCGGATGAGATTATAGCATTGACAGGACAGATCTAACTGTAATCATCGTTCTTAATCAATATTTTTTTAATCTTAGTTAAATATTCGTTTATAAAAAAATATTCTTTTTAGGGTCACAAATTAACATTAATTTAGCAAAAGTGCAAAATACTAGCAACACTTTAGAAATCACAATTGAGGGAGAAGAGATTTAAAACTCTAAAACCAGTTTGACTGATGTAGGAAGATGTGCAGAGGTGAAATACGACTATTAGACATTTCTTCACGTTTTACAGAAATATCAAATCGGTTTTGATCTTTTCATTTATGCTTCTCTCAGGAGGTAATTCGATAGATTTTTGTGATATTTTTGCTTTATCTATTCGATATTATTTATATGTCACCCCTGATATGTATAAATTTGTGACTCATTTTTAATAAGAATTCTATATTAAGGGCAGCGTTTACTGAACATCCTTTAGACTAAATTCTCTCGCTTATAAATATTTTCTTCTATAAATATTCTAGAAAGTTGAAAAATCAATCTGAAAACAATACTTAGGTACAATTTAATGTAAAAATATGACTTTCAAGAAGATATATCTTATCACTAAAGAGACACAAAATCTTCAATTTTATTGAATACACTTCTGTGAGATAAGTTGTTGTTACACTTGTAACTGAAAAATTAGCATGCTTATTTAAGATTCTGTCAGCTACAAGAGATGCTCAAAAAAGAAAAAAAAATTTTTTTAATGTGAAAAAAATAACCATCGACCTAAGAAAATGAACATGATATAAAAATGTTTTGACATTGCATGTGAATAATTTAAGAAAAAGAAATTTCCAAAAAAAAAAAAAAATAATGAAAAAAATTGTAATCGCATTACTGCAATCACTGGTTACCCATTGATAATTTTTTTTTCCCTGAACAGAATTTCATAAATGCCATGACATTTCAACTCATGGGTTGAAAAAACTACTTCAAATGATTTCTGTCCTCTTGTCGTCCAAAGAGCTGGATTGCTTTTTAATTTCAGCCAAATATACGTTTCTTAAGACTTCACAATATTCTTTTCCTTCTTCAGTTTTCATACTCATATTAAAATCGCCATCAGGAACAGTAATTATGAATAAGTTAATCAAGAAAAAGGACATAAAATTTCTTGAAATTATTATGAAAGCATTTAAAATCCACGCTGGTAAAAAGAAAAAAGAATTCTAAAAAAATTGTCAAATAGCAGCGGTCGCCATAGCAACGCATGCAATAACGACGCATGCGCGCTGTTTACTATTGCTCTTGAACTCAGTTGAAAAGTGTGATGACGTCCAAAAAAGGTGCATACGCCATCAAACCCAAAACAACACCCATTTTGCCAATGGGTAAAAAAAAATAATCGTACTTCTTTTGTAAAAAAACGCAATGTTAATCAGCGACACTTCTTAAAAGGTTTAAAGTTTTTTAGTTTATAAACATTTGAGTTTTTCCAGCTAAGATAAAAAGAAATACTCCCGCTTTTAGAGTCACTCAAGATAAATATATATGTATATTGACAAACATGAGAGCTTTATATTTTTTATGGAAAGTTTACATACTATAATATATATTGTTAAAAATTAAAATATATATGGTTAAAGATCAAAAGTTTTACAATCACCGTGTTAAGGAGGTCAGACCAATAAGTAACATTGATTATCAATTTGATACCTTAATTTTTCAATTTGTTTGGTTCAAGCTTACACATCATAGTCATATATGTATTGTTTTGAAATTAAAAATTCTTCCATGTCATCAGGTTTAGGCTCGTATGTAGCAAGACCTTCCTGGAACAGAAATTTGGCAACTTCAACTGCAATGGCTAAAGAAACATGTTTGATTGCACTTATGGGAGGATAAACTCGACCTTCGGACATATGTTCCATTGTGACCTGCGCAGCAAGGGCTTTTGCAGCTACCAAGAAAACATGATCAGTGACTCGTAAAGCCTTAGTGGCAATAATCGCACTTGCAATGGCAGGAAATATATAAACGTTATTTCCTTGACTAGGATGATACGTCTTATCTTTATATGTGACAGAGGGAAATGCTGTACCGCTTACAAAAATGCATCGCCCATTGGTGAACTCGTAAGCTTGCTTTGCAGTACATTCTGCTTTATTAGTTGGATTACTAAGAGCAAATATTGTAGGAGTTTGATGAGTTGGCATGGATTTTATCACATTTTCAGTGAAAGCGTCAAACTGTGCTGAAGCACCTATCAGAAATGTTGGTTTTACTTTTTTAACAACTTCTCCTAAATCTGAAATTTCTGGAAATTTTTTCACATATTTTTTGTTTGAAGGATTTATTTGCGACAGATCTCTACCTTCAACTAGAAGACCTTTTGAATCCATCATCCATATTTGATCGTAAGCATCTTCTTCCGGAAAATTTTCCTCTATCATATAAAGTGACAACAAGTCGGCTATTCCAGAACTTGCTGAACCAGCACCAAAAAATAAAAATGTATTATTTGATACATCAGTCTTTGTTATTTTAACACTGCTCAAAATACCAGCTAATGCTACTGCCGCTGTTCCTTGTATATCATCATTAAATACACAATAGTTATGTCTGTATTTTTCAAGTAAACGTTGGGCATTTTCTTTTCCAAAATCCTCAAACTGAATTAAGCAGTGTTCTCCATATCTCTTAACGGCAGCTTTCATGAATTCATCAATAAACTCATCGTACCTTTTACCTAGTATTCTGGGTTGTTTGAGTCCTATGTAAAAGGGGTCGTTTAATAAGGTTTCATTATTTGTACCAACATCGAGAGCAATAGGTAATAAAGCAGAAGGTGGAATGAAAGCTACTGCTGTATAAAGAGATAATTTACCAATGGAAATGCCCATACCATTGCTGCCAAGATCACCAAGTCCCAAGATTCTCTCTCCATCTGTCACCACTATAGCTTTTACATCCTTTTCAGGCCAGTTTCCGAGAACTTTAAATATGGAATATTTGTCTTTTTCAGACAGAAACATTCCTCTTGGTCTGATAAACAGTTGGCTATATTCCAGACATGCTTGTCCAACTGTTGGCGTGTAAACAAAAGGCATGAGTTCTTCAATATTTTCACACAGTACTCGGTAATATAGGCGTTCATTTGTATCTTGCAAAGTACGTAGAAACAAATAACGATCTAGATCAGTGTGGTGACTCCTCACACCGTTTAATGATGCTTCCACTTGCAATTCGACTGATCTAATAGCTGAAGGTAAAATTCCACGAAGGCCAAGACGGTCTCTCTCTTCTTCATTATGTGCCAAGCCTTTGTATTTTAGAGGATTGCATATTATAGGCATGGCGAAATCATCCATAATTCGAAAAACAACATCATCATCTATTTCATTTGATTCGGATATTAAGTGATGTTGCCAACATCTTACAACAAAACTAACATTTTTGTGATTTTTTTTACTCGAACTAAATGCTAAAGTTTAAACTTTAAATGAAGTTCAATTAATTTCATTTATTTTAAAATTTTATTTCAAGAAGAAATGCATATTATTAGGATTATTTAATAATGATGAATAAAATATAATGTAATGTTTAAAATAGTAAAACTAATAATAAGTTGAAATAATAATACTAGGCTGAGCCATAGCAAATATGAGACAAAAGCTGAAAACTTTGATGAAACCTTTTTTTCTTTAAGTTATTTTAAAATTTAATATTTGCTGTATGATCATTTTATTACTTAACAGGCTGAATTTCCAGTTTTTCGTACGGGGTGAAAAAAAATAAGTAAAAAATTAAAAAATCAATTCTGAGACACACGACGAAATCATGCTCAAAATTGAAAAAGCAGAGCATGCAATTAAAGAACTAGATGTAAGAACCAGGTGAGTGAAATTTTTGGGGGAATTAATAAATCGGAGAAAATAATATAAATTTTGGTTGCATCAATATGGGTAGCTTATTTTATTTTATTTCAATTAATACATATTATCAATTTTAATTACTATTATTAATGGTTTCAATAATAATATAGCGAGTATTTACTGAAAATGAATAAATGTCTTTTCTCCACAAACTTTGCATTTTTTGCAGATAGGTATTCAATAAATATTCATTATCATCATTAATTAAACATCATTATTGTCAATAACAGTATGAGGACCTTTTTTCGCTTTGGCTTAGCGAATCACTACTAATTTTTTTTATTAATTTTGCCTTCGAATGCATAATTGATCTTATCTTGATTACAATTACTGTTGATTTCAAATTACTTTTTCTTACAGAAACACATTTTGAAAGAATTTTTATGAGCAAAATAAACACGTGATATCAGATAACTTTAAAAATATTAATTTGATTATATAGACCATGCGTGTTACCTGTTGTGGCTTATAGCTTACTCTGTAGCGCATAAGTATGTTTTGATTAGTGTTGTGGGTTGTGGCAACATTGGTTGCGATGACAACTAAAAAATGATAGAATGCAGGAGTTGCAGAAAAGCAATAAATAAAAATCTTTTGTAAAAATATCTGGACATAGAATATCATTATATTAAATCGAAACAACATAAACGATACAATTAATATTGGCCTGTCTTGCTCCCAATATTACCAATGTTGTTCATTTAATTTGTCTAACATAGTGAATATAAAATAATTCGATATTTGAATGCGTGCAGCAAATTATTTTTCGATCGAATAGAGCCACAAGCTAGAAAATATAGCTGTTGTTATTCTTAAAATATGTAAAAAATTGGATTGTCTATGGTGAAATTTAAAACAATGACTGACGTTTAACCAATCAGAAAATTTCATTTCTTTTTTCCCTCATCTCGTTCGAATGGTTTGTAGTAGAATGTTCTAATATCGACAGTGACCTTCCTCTTGCTTCAAGGTATCTGTATGCCAAGTTTCATCGATTTCGGCTGAATGGTTTAGGAATCTATAAAAAACACCAACATCCAACGCACAGACATTCATTTTTGTACATAAATATAGATTAGCATTCGTATTACGCTTACCCAATATGCGCGAGGCTCTTGACGATTAGCATAAATGAAACCATTAAAATTGAGAAAAACAGAAATTAAAACTCCTTCAAGTGGCTCAGCAAAATAAGTTATATACTCTCCGAAATTTGTTTCAATCGCAAGTTATTGATATTTTCATGATTTCTCCACTATGAAAAACAAGAAGTTCGCATAAGTTGAGTAGTTTCCACAAGCTTTCTTGAGTTTTGGATGATAAACTTTAATGCGTTTTCATTTCTTATGTGATGCACAACTGGATGCCTGCAAGTAACGTTATTGTAGGTAAATCTAAGGCTCTATGAATCTAGATCCCCTGAATTAGAGGAGAGAACGGCTGTAGAGGAGCCTTAGGTATATCGTGATATTTGTCAATTAAAAAGCTGATCAGGTTCGGCACGCACGCGTGACGTCGCCTGAAGGTATCCAATTAAATTTGATTTAAATCACATGGTTGGACAAAATCATTTCACTTCTTCACGAGTTGCAAATAAACAATTAAAGATTGATATTACGTCATTAGTTATGCAAAATTTAATCAAATAGTTTTCTTCTTGGAAATTGAGAGAGAAATTAATTCGTATATTTCTTAAACTCAAAAATTATTTTTTTGGATTGAACGATTTTTATTTGATGATAAAATGTGCTTAAATTGGTACTGAGCTTTGTTTAGTTTGCTGAAACGAATTATCCCACTACTGATCTTAGGTAAATAATTAAGACCAGTGTGACACATAGACTGCTGCCGTTGCTTTGGCTCTTTTTCAATGATGCAGAAAGCCAGGCCACACACTGGCGTGACATGCGGTAGGTATATGGGTGATTCTCACAAAACATGACAATTCGGACCAAAAAATTTCTTCAAATTTAAAGTCTTCAAAATAATCTAAAATTTTTTTTGTATACTTCTTTAGCTGCACTTATTAATATCTTATAGACAGCAGTGTAGTTTATTAACATTTGCTTGAGAAAAGAAATAAAATAGAAATTCACCAAATCTTGAATGCCAGGAAAATGACATATTACCTTTGAAGTTTAAAAAACAGTCATTTTAAGTTAATAGTAAGTAACTCAACTTGAGCCTTTATGTCAGATGGACCATAAATTGCTTAAATTAATTCTTTTTATCCACTGTAGAAAGAAACAAAAAATTTTTTGTTGCTGATATGTACAGAATAAAATTGTATGTAATAATCAATCATTAAATAAATAAATAACTTTGATTACATCCAGGCATATTACAATCATACATAAACTTGGTATTAGGTTAATATTTGCTTTCCCTCTTTACAGTGTTAGCAGTAAAAAAGAATTTGTGGTAATACTTCAATGTCCTGGCATTCATAAGCCAGGAAAATGACAGCCAGGATAATGACAAATTCGCCATTTTATAGCATATAACTTTACTTTAATTTAATATTTTGGCTGAAGACGTTTATATTCTGCAGAAAACAGCAGTATTTCTTAAAATAACTCAGATAAATCTATGTAGTTTTTGTTATTAATGATTTCAAGAAGCCAGGAAAATGACAGCATAAAAACCTACTCACCTTGAAAAA